AACTCCCTGGAGAGAGGGGCTGCAGCCCCAGGGGGAGGGGCGAGGGGCCCCGGGCGCAGCTCCTTCCCCTCCCCTCCCCCGCCGGGCGCAGGCATGGCCGTGCTCAGCCCCGGACAGGGCAACGACACCGCATCCTCCGAAGGGCCCTTCGGGACGAACGGCAACGCTACCGGCAACGCTACTGGCACCTCCGACGTGACCTTCAGCTACCAAGTGGTCACCTCTCTGCTGCTGGGCGCCCTCATCTTCTGTGCGGTGCTGGGCAACGCGTTCGTCGTGGCGGCCATTGCCCTGGAGCGCTCCCTGCAGAACGTGGCCAACTATCTCATCGGCTCGCTGGCCGTCACCGACCTCATGGTGTCGGTGCTGGTGTTGCCCATGGCCGCGCTCTACCAGGTGCTCAACAAGTGGACGCTGGGCCAGGTCACCTGCGACCTGTTCATCGCCCTCGACGTGCTGTGCTGCACCTCGTCCATCCTGCACCTGTGCGCCATCGCGCTGGACCGGTACTGGGCCATCACCGACCCCATCGACTACGTGAACAAGCGCACGCCCCGGCGCGCCGCCGCGCTCATCGCGCTCACCTGGCTCATCGGCTTCCTCATCTCCATCCCGCCCATGCTGGGCTGGCGCACCCCCGAAGACCGCTCGGACCCCGACAAGTGCACCATCAGCAAGGACCACGGCTACACTATCTACTCCACCTTCGGCGCCTTCTACCTCCCGCTGCTGCTCATGCTGGTTCTCTACGGGCGCATCTTCCGAGCCGCGCGCTTCCGCATCCGCAAGACCGTCAGGAAGGCGGAGAGGGGCGCGGACTCCCGCCTCGGGGCGTCGCCCGCCCCGCGGCCCAAGAAGAGCGTCAACGGAGAGCCGGCGAGCAGAGCGTGGGGGCAGGGCGCGGAGCCTAAGGCCGGCGGGGTCCCGTGCGCCAACGGGGCGGTGAGGCTGGGCGAGGACAGCGCCGCCCTGGAGGTGATCGAGGTGCACCGGATGGGCAACTCCAAGGAGCACCTGCCGCTGCCCAGCGAGGCGGGTGCGGTGCCCTGTGCTCTCACTTCTTTCGAGAAGAAAAATGAGCGCAACGCTGAGGCAAAGCGCAAAATGGCTTTGGCCCGCGAGAGGAAGACGGTGAAGACGCTGGGCATCATTATGGGCACCTTCATCCTGTGCTGGCTGCCCTTCTTCATCGTGGCCCTGGTCCTGCCCTTCTGCAAGAACAGCTGCCGCATGCCCACCCTGTTGGGCGCCATAATCAACTGGCTGGGCTACTCCAACTCCCTGCTCAACCCGGTCATCTACGCCTACTTCAACAAGGACTTCCAGAACGCCTTCAAGAAGATCGTCAGGTGCAAGTTCTGCCGCGGATGACGCCGGGGGAGCCGCCGCGAGTCGGCCCGCCCCCTGCTCCCCGCCTCGCGCCACCCCCTGGAATCCACACCTAGGAAAGCCGGCTGCTTCTCCTCCCTCTCAGCTGTCCGCCCGCAGCCTGCAGACCTCGTGCCCCTCGCGCCTTCTCGCAGGGAGCGCGCCCGGTGCCGGGGCGCGGGCGGCGGCGCTGGGCGCGTGGGCAACGTCCCGGGTCCGTAGGAAGCGACCTCGGCTCTGACTTTGGCCTCAGAATCAGTTTTGGCCCAGCTATCGCCTCCTCCCTCTTATGCGCCCACATTTTCGCGGCAGAACTTTAAAACTCGGCCGTTCAGGGCAGCAAATCCACACAGAAAAATAAAGCTGTGCCCCCACCGCCGCGCCCGCTCCTGGCTCCCGCCCGCTCGCCCCACTGCTAGAATTTGGACTTAAGTTCCAGGACTTTGCTCCGTTCCTAACCCCGCCACATTCCCGGCTCTCTGGTTCTGGAAACGGTCACTTTTTTTCGGTCTCATCTCTCTTTTCCTTTCCCAGCTTCCCTTCAAGTCCTCTCTAGCCCCGCGCACTATTCACTAGTCGGTAGGGCGCGGGGTCTGCTTTTCCCGGCGGCTGGGGTGTCCTCTCCCTCGGAACTCGCACAGTAACGCTCCCGGAGCACGGCCAGGCTTTGTTTTTTTGGCATTCAGAACAAGCGGCCAGAGCTGTCTCCTACAGTGGACTTGCAAGTGCGAGGCTGGGCCAGTGGGAGAGTGCGGGACGACTTTACCGCGCTGGCCTTGGCGTCAGCGCTCACCAAAGAAACTGACACTCAGTGGGGAGCGAGAGCGAATTCTGCGGGTCCGGGTGCTGGCGACTCTGCACGCGCTGGGTTAGCGGCTTACTTGCCGCGGGAGCGCCGGGACGCCCCCAGCCTGCGGTGCAGCGCGCCCTGGGCGCGCGCACCGGGGACTGAG